AGTACTATGCACTTTGCAAATAAATTTCAAACAACTGTTGCACTTAGTAGCATATTTACCATCTTTTTTTCCAGCACAAAATGACAACATACTCTTTTCAGGAGATTTCGGCTTGATCTAGCAATTTGTATAATATTATCATCTATTAGCAGTTCAAATGATTCTTTGGTAGTCATTTTGAATTTTTGATGCAAGATTGAGATATCTTTGCAAAATAATTGTAAAAATTAAAAAAAACATAAAAACACATTTCCACAAAAAACCAACGTAACTGGTATCGTGGGGGCTGCACAGCCCCCAGAAAATACGTAGCTCCATCTTTGTAAGTGCTACAGGGCCAAACATTTGGCACTCGCTAAAAGTCGCGACGTAATGAGATTACATGAAATGGCAGCTGCACACGATATTTAGATTTTTAGAAAATCATAAAAATATGACGCGTGGGGGCCGCGCGGCCCCCAAGAAACCAGTTAAGGGTTAAATATATATAACCCATGAGTTATGAATATGAAAATACAGTATATTGTTTTATAACTTTTCCTGTGTGAATACTACTATAATTATTATAAAAGAACTTAAAAAATCACAATCATTAAGATGGTTTTCTTTTAGATCTTGTTTTTATTTTTATAGAATCAAATGATAATGTTTACTAATATGAAGAAATAATTTTTTAATATTTATATTTTTAGTGGATTACATACAGATGTATTCACATTTATTTATGGATTCTACAACATGTACATCACCTGCCGTAAATAGGGGAAGACGTCCTAGCGAAGCCAGTATTGCCAGTAATGTATCAGGAGTTAATGATACAATACCTTTAGCATCAATATCTTCAAGTAAGAATATATTTAATTATTATATATGTATGATTTCATGCTAATATATTAATATATTAGCATGAAAGTTCACACATACTGTCCAAATTAATAGATACATCATTGAAATTTCAATACAACATTTTTTAGTTTCAATTTTTATAAATTACTCAAAACAAGTATACAGGTATCCCTCACACAACACGACACTTCTACAACATGGTTTCACTCTAACACAGTTTGAAAATTAGGGATATCCCAATTTTCAACTTCTGGTTTTGCTCTAACACTGTTTTGGAAATCCTCTGTACAAAATTTCACAATTTTTAAGTGTAAACTTTCTTAGTCAATATTGTTTTTATTCAAGTAAGCATGTGTGTTTTCTCAAATTCACCCACGGATTTTAGAATGTTGAAATTTTCAAATTATTTTATGCTTTTCATCAAGTTTACTTTAATGAAAACTGATAGGAAAAAGACTAACTTTCCTATCAACCAGGTGTCATTGTTGCTTTCAGACTTTATAAAGAAAGCACAGTGACAGTCTTTAGATTAAATAAATTTACCTAAAAGTGTTTGATTTTCATATTTAGTAAAGTGTTGTTAAACTTATTTTTAACTGTAGGTAAGAAATCATTTGTAAAATGATGAATAAAATACGGTGGTATCTCTATACTTGAACAATCCAGCATTTGAACACAAATTCTGGGAAAAAAATTGCTTGATACTCAACTGAACAAATGCAACCTGCTAAAACAAATTTTCGATTAAATAACATATTTTTGCTTTGTCATCCATAAAATATTTTTATGATAAAAATAAAAATATGAAAATGTTGATCTTATTCAGAAGTATCAACAACAAAAAAGCTGAGATGACGATGATACTTTGTAAAAAGGAAAATGTCCTTGTTTAACTAAAATTAATATTAACAACGCATAATACAGTACTTTTAATTGTATTGTTAATTAATTATTGATTGACTATTGATTATTGAATAAATTGTTAAGTGCTTTAATAAACATATTTTGCTTAACAAAAGTATATTATTCTTTTTCATTACTAACTTCTGGAACGTAACCCTGTTTTGCATTAGTCCTTTGTTTCATATAGGTTGGATTTGCATTTTTTTGGAACATAATTACTGTGTTATACAAGGGATACCTGTAATTTGTTTGTTGTAAATATTATATAGTCAGACTTTGAATCCTTAATGTAGCATTTTACTTTAAACATATACTGTACAGTATATATTTTATGTTAGATGGAAGTGATAATGATATTAACTTTATAAGAGATCATTTTCGATAATCAAATTAAAAATAGGGAAAGGAGTTGTGCAAATTTGTTTTTACTCTTTTTTAAATATCTATAGAAAAAATATACTGTGATACATATATCACAGTATATTTTTTCCATGTAAACAATTTATGCACAGTCTTTTTTCCCTGTATTAATGCAAAAATCACTTTCTAAATGAAAAAAATTAGTATAATTAAATAAGAAGTATTTTATTAATTTGATTGAATGAAATATTTTATTTGAAATTTTTAAAATTTTCTGCCATAGCTCATTTGTATTACAAATCTTGCATTCGTTAAGTCAAACAAGTTAACTCAAATTGCTAATGAGACAGTTTTCGAAGTACTAATTCCATACAGTGTATGAAACAAAAATTCACAAAGGAAAGAATTTTAGGTCACATTGGGAAGTAAATGAAAGATATTGATATTTCTAAATTCATTTGAATGTATGAACTGTGGATTAAAAGATGGTTGGTTGGTTGGTGTTATATGGTGCAAGGGCCATATAGGCCAAGCTGAGCCATAATTAAAAGATGAAATGACATGAATAACTTCCCATGTGAAATAATCTGAGAAAAATATTTTGGATAAGACAACATTCACAAATTCAGCTTTAGAAATAGTCCTGCCTGTTATGTATAGGAAAGTATTGTAATGATCTCAAATTTGACACAAGGAATTTTTCAAATCTTGACTTTTTGAGATTCCTGAATGAAAAACAGTCAAATACATACAAAATTTTTTTTTGTGATTATTGCATCTGTTGGTATCTATTTCATATAATATCTCAAGATGTGATAAAGATCTTAATCTTTGCAAAATTTGGTATGGTAACTTATATATATAAAGGAAATTGATGCTATTAAATTTAGTTAAAGGTCAAGAGGATCATCTGTCATGTTTTGAGTGGGGGATGGACTGAAGATTTTACTCATTTTTGGCATTTACAACTTTTAAACAAATTCATCTCTGCTCTCAAAATTACACTTTTTGTCTTTTTATAATAATTAATAATTTAAGTTATTTTTTAATATCATCATATAATGACAGATTCATACACAATTTTAACTTAAAGAAACAAAGATATTAGCATGAACATAAAAAGAATTCAGCAACATGTTGCATAACTTTCCCAGCTTCCCTGGGAAAGTTATGCAACTCATTCCTGGATTTTTTTTGTAAACAAATTGGTTAAAATATTCTATGAAAAGAAGAGTAATGACAATATCATTCTCTAACTCATTTGACTTTACAAACAAACTCATTGATTAACATGGCATCAAGTCCAAAAACATACAAAAAAAAGAATTTATTTAAAAAAAATAAATAACTATTTACTTAAGGTAAATGAAACAAGCAATTATTTATTGTAACATCATCACAATGCCAAATTGCAATTTTTAATAATTTTTTATTTTAAAATATATGCTCTCCACCTCAAATTAGTAGTTGCTTGCCCCTGTAAATCATACTTTTCCATTAGCAATAGAGTCATGCAGGTCATCTATCTAACTCCCTTTTAGGGAAAAATTTTTGAATTGAAATAATGTGACTTCCAGTTTTCATCAAAGTTCATTTAGTTCATCGGGGCCTCCTGCCCCTAATGTTTCCATATCTGGTCTCAACTTTCATTTATCTAACTCCATTCTCAAGATTAAAGATAGACGGACAACAGTGTAGGAATTTATAGGCCTACAGTTTTTTCAAATTGCAGCCCAATAATGATTTCATAAGAGTGTAAAAGCAATAATATTGATGAAGCACCAGTGCAACAATTTATTGTTTTAATTCTGCAAAATAGAAAATTGTGTATTTTCATACACAATTTTCTATTTTAAATTGTCATTTCAATAATATTTTTTTCTATAATAGGCACGTTGATTTGTTGAAACAGTGGGTGAAGTGAGTGAAGTTGAAGGAACAGTAATGTTCTCTACATGGTTAAGGGACCAACTTCAGATATGGATAGATGAAATGGAATGTTAAAGGGAAACTCAGCAGATTAAGTACAGTAGATACATCAAGCTTTGCCAAAAATGAACTTAGTGTCTTAGTTATTGAAATAGTATTTTTCAAGCAGAGTGAACAAAGCCCATTTCTTCACTTAAATGTCATTGGATCAAAATAAACTCTTCTGAAGCTGTTTGATCAACCAAAGTTGATATGCATATGAAGTGTCGTAAGTTATTTGGAATTCTGATCAGATTGTGTCCTTGAGGAATATCACAGGAAAACATTGCCATAGACCAGGGGTCACCAAACTTTTTTCATGGTGCGCCTTGCGCCACATAGAGAATGGTGGGACGTGGTCCACATAATTTTGTTCAATACAGTATACTGAATACACAAAAAGTAATGACAACCAATATATTTATTTACCAATACACAAACACGATTGCTGCAGCAAGCTTGTGATCACTTTTCTTAGAAACTTCATTGCAAGTATTTACACAAAATGCACTCCAATATCTAAAGTCACAAAAAGTCGCCAAATTTTTTATTTCTCTGATTTTCCTAAATAATGAATTACTGTCAGATGCAAAAATCAGAGTGGACCAATCTTGGCATTTTTACTTACTATGTAGAAAAAATTAAAATTTTTTCTCATATTTTCCCATCTACTTTAATGCTGCTAATGAGAAATTGATAACTATAAAAAGATGAATATAGAAGTTTGTCAGAAAAACTCAAAGTTGATTCTAGTATAAAAATATCCAGCTGCACAAATGCATATTATAATATCTACATCATATGCAGTTCAAAATGTTTACATCTTTATACAAATCTTGGAAACTTAACACATTATTTATTTCAGTTTCAAGCATCAGTACAGTTTTAATCATGCTTGTTATAAAGAATTTATAGAAAATTAACTATCGTTTCAGTAAGCCAAAGATGGTGGGGAACAAAGCGACTGGATTATGCTCTGTATTGTCCTGATGGACTGACAAATTTTCCACTGAATGCTTTACCCTACTTGTTTCACGCCAGCTATTGGGAATCTACAGATGTCATTGCATTTATTCTGAGACAAGTAAGAATTTTTGTTTAAATTAATTAGAATTTTATAATTATAGAATGGACTTTGATATTCTGTTTAATCTGAATCTGGATATTCAATTAATGACATATTTTAACAATAATTTTATAATATTTAAAAATAAAACATTTAGAGAATTTGCCATTATGTTCTGCTTTTGTTTGCACAAGGTTTATGGCATAAGTATGTTATTTGACAAGAGAATTTCCAAAAACTTGTGAATTTTTTTTTTGTAATATATAGATAATTTGTTGTTCCCAGTTTTTACATTACATCAGAAATAAATTTACTTAATAGTTGTGAGCATTCTCACACCCTTTATGAAAACATATTTTTAAAGCCTTTGATTTAATAAGTTTCTCTTTGATGCAAACCTAAAGGAGCACCATTATCTTGTATTGATGTTGCAACACACACAGTACAAAGAATAACTCACCAAGACTTTTTACATTTTATCTTCAAAACAATTGTAAGAACAAAAATTCCAATGTTTAAGAGAAGCATTATCAAATTGTAATGGAAATCTGCATAAATTAATTTATGTTAACTCATTTTTACGATATGTCAAAATTTTTTGTTTTCTTTAGATTATTAGAGTTAACAACTTGGGACATCCTGCAGAGAGCGAAAAGGAAATTCCTCGCTCTCAGTCGTCTACTGTTCGAGAGAAGTGGTTAAAGAAGAGGACCTCCGTAAAATTAAAAGTAAGATTATGTAACCAAAATTTCTTTTCTTTTTGAAAATTGATAGAAAAAAATATTAAAGGATTACATTAGATTTTCGTGCCAAATACTAAAAATATTAAAAAACTGAAGAGTTTTTCAGATTGATGCACAGTTTGCTTGGAAAAATATCTCCATTGAAAATCGTAACTGCTACAAAAAAATTATATACAGATATAATAAAAATGTCTTTGTGATACAATGTATAAAATTTTGCTGTAATTTAATAGACATGAGAATTTTCAAAAAATTGTTTATGATAATTACAAATTATGAATTATTTATATGTATATTGGACTAAGCAGATACAATGGATGTACAAGACAAAGAGCCCCAAAGTGATCAGTATTATGTTTTTTATTCTAAAATTTTAATTTTGCTGCTGCAGGGGCCAACACCATAATATTTTTGGTTGAAGTTACAATATAATTGACTATTTCTATTTTATTTGTTTCTTTTATGTTTTATTTTTCGTTTTCCTTTTCTGGAAAATACCTTGTACAGCACACATGTAAAGTTACTTATGGCACTGATGTTGGACAAAAATTAATTCTCATACTTTTATAACAGAATAGTCAATATATAGTCAATATATAGTAACAAAACAATATAGTCAATAGTCAATGGAACAAAACAATATTGGTTATGAGTTGATATTGGTATTGATTACATTAGTGATCATATAATTAAAAAAGTATTATTTTAGATATTTCCATTTAAAACTTATTTTTTTTTAAATTTCAATTTCAAAACATGCATATATAGACCACATAAAAAAGATTTAATTACATTGCAGAACATAACAGCAAATCATAGAGCTAATGACGTACTAGTCAAAGAAGGAAATCCACAAGTTCTCAATGCCAGATTTATGTATGGACCATTGGACATGGTTGCCCTGACTGGAGAAAAGGTTTGTAAAATTATTTTCTTAGCACATTTAACTTTGAGTTAATTTTTTTGTATTTTTACCAGATTGATATTCACGTGATGAAAGATGTAAGAACGGGAGAATGGTCTCTCTTCAGCACAGAAGTCACTGACAAGAACGGTCGCATCAGTTACACTATACCTGAAGATAAAATGTTGACTTATGGAATATTTCCGGTCAAGATGACAGTCAGGTTCATATTTATGGAATTTTTAGTGATTTCAGAAATCTTTCTGCATGTGTTTCATTTTTTTCAAATTGATGAATGAAGCTTTGCACATTTTTAATTCAATGAACAATTCAATAAAAAAAAAAGCAAGTAATTTTTATGTATATTGTTTTTTCAATAACTACCAATTTCCCCAAGTTCAAAAGCAAATCACAATTTTCTCATTAGTGGAGAATCTGTGATCTCATGGGGGGACTATTTTTTAGTATCCCAGAATAATCATATGATCCAAATCTGTGAAACATGTTTCTGTCTCTCCTTGTTAAAAGATATAATCAGTTTGCAACTTAACTGTGCATTTTTTGCAGAGTTAATTAAATTAAAAAAAAAATAATGATGCACTTATTCCCTAGTTGCACAATGGTTATTCTGTTTTTGAATGGATGAGATCTTGTTTCTCTTAGAATAAAAATATATTGTGTGGCACAGCCTTGGGTATAACTTTTGAATGTCTTTTGTTTATTTAACTATTTAGACACATCATGTTTTGAAATTTTCTGTAGAAACTTTTTGTATTCCAAATGTCCTATTGCAACAAAAAGAGTTAACACTACAGTTTACTAGTTTCTCAGTGAAATGTCTACAGATTTCTCTGATAGAGGAAATAAAGAAGAGGAAAGTGCTGTCTCTAGTTTTTATGTTGTGCTGCCATAAATTTGGTCAAGAATCTAATATGGCCATATAGCATACAGATGGAAAAGTTTCTTAAAAAGCAAAATAATATAAGACTCATCCTGAATATGCTGGAAGACTTTAACAAAAACATACAATAAAAAAAGACCTCCAGAATTACAGGAATAAATAAATTTCCTTTTAAATGCATTGCAATGTCTGAATGATGACCTCACTGTACTGGTATCACACAGTCACAGTAGCATAAAGTAAATTATAATAATAATAGTTATTAATACCACATACAATGTTATACAGGATGCTTCAAAAAATGTTAACACTAATATGGTAATAAATAACTTCTTATGCTGGATTTGCAGTGGCATGTTGTTCTCATTGTGTGCAAGAACTCATAACCTGACTGTGGAGTTCTGTAAAAGGTGCAATCCTGCTACTTCTGCTGCAGTAATTGCCACTTTCTCCATATAAGTATTAAAATTTTTTGAAGCACTCTGTACAATACTATTTATTATATTAAAAATAAAATAAACAATAAAGTAATGGAATTATAGCGTTCACTTAATTATTCATTCTTTTTTGGTGCTTTGGAATATGTGTTAACAATAAACCTTTAATTTTGAATTTACTACTATTCCAGTTTTTTGTAACTACTAAATCTAATCTCTATGACACTAACAATTTCTGCTCTACAGACATTTTTAAAACAAAATTTTTCCTCTAGGGGAGATCGCACATCTTTGGAATTCCTGTTGGCTGTGGTTCCCCAGAAGACAGAGTGTGTGGTCTTCAGCATAGATGGCTCATTCACAGCCAGTGTGTCCGTCACTGGAAAGGATCCTAAAGTGAGGGCAGGAGCAGTGGACGTTGTCAGGTAATTTGATATTCTGCTAGTACCTTTATTTTGATTTTAGAACTATTGATTTAAATTTGAAAATCTTAGCCATGACATAATAAAAGTATAGGTACATACACTTTGGACTATATTTTCTATTTTTAAAGAATATTTCTTCTACTAATTCTTTTAAACTTAATTTGTATCAAATAATAACCAATCATGGAGATGTATGATTTTCTTATTACTTACTGTAGAAATAAATATAAAAGTACAACGTTTTTAACAAAGGTAAATACTTTGCTTCCATTACTCTTCCATCGTTCACTCCAGCAACAGTCCATAAAATTCACAAGTACGGAGGCAACCTTTCTTTAGAGGCTACTGCCTCCACAATAAAATGTAAATATGGTAAAAAGGCATCCTCTGGTACTCTTGCCATTATCACAATAATACATTTAAGTAAAAAAATAGTAAAAAAACATGGCCGACAGTATTATATTTATTTCTATAATTAAATGTAATACCATTGGCCATGTTTTTTTACTACTTTTTACGTAAATAAAATTTATACTGTTTCTCCTCATTTATACAAGTCTTTGAATTCTTGTATTGCTGTGGTAAATAATTTTCCTATTTTCTTGTGTTATTTTAAAGTTAATGGAGTTTTGGAAGGAGAAGGAAAGTTTGGTTTTGTAATTGTTAGTGATGTAAGTAACAGATTATAGTTCGTTTGAACAATGTGCAGAACATATGAAAGAAATTTATATAGAAAAGAACAAAAAGGATTTGTTAATATTTAAGGAGATAACTTCTGGATCAAAATTTTATTAATTTATTAAAATTGATAAGATTGGCATGTATTTCAAACATCCAAGTACTTGTATAATTGTTGGACCATTACAATCTGGGAAAACTATATTGGTAAGAATAATCATTTGTTAAAAAATATACAAAAAAATGCTTAAAAAGATATTACAATTATGTATAGTTTACCTGATTCTATGCAAAGATGATTGATAATGTGATGCATGAATGTCTCCAAAAATGACATTTTTGTTTACAACTGAATTTCATCATTGTAATGTAAGCATAATCGTAATAATGTCAAATTTACTTCTGAAAAACAGAATTATGATGTGAAAGTAGTGAATTGTTTGGGTTGCTATCCTTTTGCTGGAAAACTTGATTTTTTCATAGATGCATATAAAAAAGCAACTGAAAAGGAATTTGGTTATTTGTTATTGGATTTTTATCCTAAAGTGGATAAGAAATTTTCTGTGAAGGAATCCTGTTTCTTGATAAACAAGGTACTTTTTTGGACGTACTTAGCAATAAAATGAAAAAAATGATCATATGTTGGCACTTTTAGCAAAGACTACTGCTTTGCAGAGAAGGGCAATGTTGAAAGAAGCATCTCCAGATCAAATTAAAGTTTTATATGAAATATGTGATAATTTGTTGAGAGGAAATATATTATCTGATGGTCATAAATTAAGAAACTATAAAAGTGTTTTTAGGAAATTTATTGTAAAACATTTCTTTAAATAACAAGGAAGAAAAAGTAAATAACCAATCTGGTGGTGCACTTTTTCTTCTGTTGGGTCTGTTGTTGTCTATGGCTGATGGTTTAATAGGAAAAGCAATTTAATGGCAAAGCAAATGGCCCAAGTTTCTCCAGAATTGTTGACAACTTATCAAAAGCCTGAAAAGGGAATTGGCAATAATATTGAAGAATTACTTGAGAGTATAAATTGATAATTTATTGGATGATAGCAAAGTCAAATTATTAAATCATCTGATTATGAGATACCAAAGAATGATTCATGTATCTAAAGAATCTGTTAGAATATCCATTGTACCACACGAAACTGAAGAAGCAAGTTCTCAACAAACAAAAAAAAGAAAAACTGATAATGATGCATTTAAACAAATAACTATATCTGTGCCTGTTTAGTCCAAAATGTATCATACCTATATTACACATAATTGAAATTTTGGTTAATTAAACAACTCAGCTTCTATGCACATCTCCCCAACATACACAAATTTACCGATGGTATTTATCTTCAAAAAGAGAAATTGATATTTTGAAATAATCACAACAGAAGATCATCCTCCACATCTTTGATGATGTTCTGTTATGATTATTATTTCTTGTATTTTATGATGATGATCTGTGATTCTTCAAACATCATCCACATCAAAGATGTTTTTCTGAGCTCTGCAACTTCAATATTTAATATAGTAGAGCGTCGTCTATCCGAAAGCTGGTTATCCGAAAGCATTCCAGTCGGCAAATTTAAATTTTTGCTAGTGCTGTGGCGCTGCAATCTTCGGCTGTTTCTTGGGCTACTCAAATATTTTACGTTTTTGATACTAAATTAACATCTGAAGTATAATTTTTTATTGTTTTTATATTTTTCAATATATTTATTTTGTTTGTACAAAATAAAAAAATAATTTTTAACGATACAATAGTCTTNTAGGTTAGTCGGATTATATCTCGGGTATTTCGACTGAGGATAGTGTCTGATCCTCCTTAATATTATTTTCGGAATTAGCCCTAGTCCACCTGAGAGAAAAAAGAGAGTTCTACTTACTAAGTGGTAGATGGTAGAAATTAGCTTTTTCGTCCGTTTGTCGGCAGTCAGCGTTGAAGATAATTAATCCGTTGCTTATTGCTATCTTGGAGGCCACCCCAATAACTGGGCTGAGAGTCCTCTTTATACCAAATTGAGGGGGTGAGAACTATGACATTACTAATGATTTATCCGCACACCTGTTAGTGTGTTGATGTTTGGATCTAGCTAGTTCGGACAACTGACATAGAGAAGTTTGTTCAATTTATTGATATTGGTGTCAAGATGATATGATTTTATGATATAAATTTCTATAGGTTTGATGGCTCTCATCCATAAATTAACAATCATCTGACAATAATTTCCTTAACCTGGTCAACTATCTAGTTATTGTTTATATCAAACGTCGTGTTTGACTATGAACAAGGCGATTTATTGCCATAACCACGTGTTACGTGCAACCAAGAGGTGATAAGAAATATCTCTTATTCCCTTCTTGTTGATACAAACGTCTATAGAATTACCTTTTAACAAATAAAGGAGATTTCATTTATTGATATTTTAACATTCCTTTTTTTTCTTACTCGGGGAGAGCGTCTCGGTCATTGACTGCAGAGGTTCTCCCTTTTTTTTCCTTTTACAAGGAAAATTCCAAGGTTTACAGTTCTAAAACAAAAAAAAAGGTTTCGGACCTTCACACAGGGTATGTGCTGCCATGGGTTGTATATGCAAAAATACAATACTGGACCAAATATCTGGCTTCCAGAAATCTGGAATTACTACAAAACTGGCTGTTTTGAATTTGGTGGGCTATAGTTTGTCATGTTGCATGACACCAGTTACAGTGTGACTGCTGTTGTATGCAAGTGATCTCACAATTAAGTGTTTGTTGTTTGGAATTTATAACCATAGCTAAAAGGTCGATATTAATAATGATCAAGCAGACCCTGCTTTAGAAGTGTATGTTAATATTAATATACAGTTTAACCCGCTTATAACGTCACCCATGGGACCGGCAATTTTTTGACGTTTATAACTGAGTTTATAATTTCAGTCCCATAAAAGTATCAAGTGTGTTTAAGAATCTATTATAAAATCCATCTAATTTTAGTTTGCACTTTTATACATACAATATTAATGTTAATAATGTAAATAAAGTTGATTTAATGTCTAAATTTAAAACAATGTAATTAAAAATTTCAAAAATTACCTTTTATAAGAAATTTTTATTTGTCTCAAGTTTCGATAATGGTGGTACTTACAGTTTTGAGAATAATGTCGAATCAAAAGGCAACAAAAGGTTAAATTAATGTATACCAATTAAAAAGAAACGATAAAAATATTCACTTAAAAAAGTCAGTTATTTTAGATTGTAGGTGTTTTTCACCTAAAAATTGTTTATCAATGTCATTTTCTAAGTCATAGATTTCGTTATTTCCGATGAAATTTTCCGAGACCTGTTAAACATTTTCAATAATCTTATTGCATTACTCACTTCCCTGATTGATGGCACTGCAGTTTCTCTGTCTGATGTTTCATCATCATCATCATCATCATCATCATCCACATTTTTTTCATCTGAAGATTTAATTTGCTCAATAATATCTGCATCTAATTAATTAAAATGCCTCAATGTCCTTTTTCTTACTAAAATATAAATTTCTGTATATAATTTCGTATCTTCTATTATCAGGACTTATTATACTGGCTTTACAGATAATGCTACAAAGTTTTACAGAAAACAATTTTTTATTTTATTTTATTCAATATACAGGTATATTGAATAAAATAAAAAATTGTTTTCTGTAAAACTTTGTAGCATTATCTGTAAAGCCAGTATAATAAGTCCTGATAATAGAAGATACGAAATTATATACAGAAATTTATATTTTAATATCTGCATATTAAATTCAGATGTTAAATTTTCATCTACACTTTCATATTCAGTAGCAGCAGATGACAAAAATTCACCGTTTTCTGAACTCTGAAGTGTTTTAATTAATTCCGATAGAGGAATGTCGTCGTCCTCATTATTGTCATCTTTCGTAAATGTAATAGCTGTTTGACTATTACACAATTTTGCATGGCGAAAACAGTTTGCTTTTATTAGTGAACTAACCTTACACCAAGATTTTTGCAAAAAATCAACTGCATCTAATAAAGAAATTGCCATTTTATTTTTATCTTCCATATTTGTTATAACTTTTTGTAAAAGAATTTTTCTGAAATGAGATTTAAGGCTTCTTATAATTGCTTGATCCATTGGTTGAAGTTCGCTAGTACAATTCAGAGGAAGCAATACAAGTTTGATGTTCTTCAAATTTTCTAAAATTGGATGTGCTGGGCAATTATCGACAAGGAGTAAAACTTTTTTCGTTTACCAATAAGTTCTCTATCCCATTTTTGAATTTCTTCTTCAAAAATCTCAGACGTCATCCATGACTTTTTGTTGGCTTTGTAATTTACTGGTAGTGTTTTTATGTTTTTAAAACATCTTGGATTCTTTGATTTTCCTATTACAAGAAGTTTTCTTTTGTCTGTACCAGTCATATTAGCGTAAACAAAAGCTGTTATCCTATGTTTTGCAAGTTTTCCACCAACACACTTTTTGTTTTTAAATTTAAATGTTTTATCTGGTAAAAGTTTGTAAAATATCCCAGTTTCATCTGCATATTCTCCCCTTAATTTAGGCCCCACATCTCTTAACCAGTTTTCAACGTCCAGTAAATTTACACTTTTTTTCTTCTCCACACATTTTCCCAAAACTTATGCCATGTCTTTGTTTAAAACGGTCTAGCCATCAATTAGAACATTTAAAGTTAGTATCGCCTAGTAGTTGTCCAAATTCTTCTTTTTCCATTAGTATCTGTCCATTTAGTGGTAAGTTGGAACTTCTGCACAAACCACTTAATTAGAGTGTCATCAATATTGGCTTTTTCACATAACTTAAATTTTTTAACTTGTCCCTTGCCATCTTGAAAACTTTTCAAAATTTTCTCTCTGTTTTTTATTATTGTGCACACTGTAGAATTTGCTAAACCAAAGTCTCTGCATACATCTGCTTTTCTTCTTCCACTTTCAACTGCTTTAATTATTTCTACTTTGCAGTCTAACATTAACGCTTTCCTTTTTAAGCTAGCCATTTTACCTGATTTGATGCTAAACTACAACTCGAGTATGAGAGCTATGCAGACTAACCCACTGTCATGTCATTTAAAGGGGTGGTGAATCTTACTCCACTGAAGTCAGGTGGTGACAGTACCACCCACAGTCATTCTAGGAAGTGGACTCTTGACTCTAGGACTGAACATGTAGTATTTTCTTTGTTAAATAAAATTTGTAATTGAATTTTGTAAATTTGAGAGTACTTCAAATATAAAGTTAAAACAAGGTTTTATGTCGTTACAAGTGGGTTTTTTCACATTATCTAGTATAGTAAAATCATGGGACCGATAAAAATTTGATGTTATATTAGGGTTGTTGTTACATCTGATGACATTATAATTGGGTTAAACTGTATCTGTTAATAGAAAGTAAAGAATGAAATTGTATTTTGCTTATTTTATATTTTAAGTACCTATTTAGCCTGTGTCCCAGAAAACCAGACTATTTCCAGTCCCAAGCTTGTCAGATATTTGGTCTGATACTGTATAAATAAAATTTACCATTTACCTAGCTGCCATTGACTAATAAACAAAACCATATTAGAATTATCATCAAAATAAACTCTAAAATAATCCATCCCTTTTACTTTCCGGCTGTTATATATAACAGAGGTAAAGTACGGCAATTGGTTAAAAAATAACCGTCCAAGATTTTTACATTTTTGGACTTGGTATCTTGAAACATTGTGAAATACAAAAATATTTGGAAGTTTTTCTGCATGTATGGGTATGTGTGGGGCACAATTTTATTCACTTTCTTTGAAGCTTAACAACTTCTGTGCTTTTTGATGAAAAATTCTGAAATTTTTTAGGGAGATTCGTGTATTATGGTCATTTATGCTATTAAAACTTGGTGGTTTCATGGGATGGTGAAATAAAGTGGATTGTATGTTGTATCTTGAGTAGAGTCGGACTTAATGACAATTTTACTCATTATCAGCATTTACAATTTTTTATAAAACCTATCCCTACCTTGAAATTAAGCTTTTTGCCATTTTATAATAATTAAAAATATAGAAAATTTTTAATAATAAAATATTGTAACGGTGTCACAAACACAGTTTTAAATGCCAGGAAAATTTAAGCAACACACTGGTGGATTTTTTATTATTCCTACTATATTAAATAATAATTTTGTAAATTAAATTGTTTTATTTGCATTGTATATCATGAAAACTACTTATTGAAAATTGAATTATTGTTAGTAATAAATGTATATGAATTGATCACAAAGTAACTTTGATTTTTAAACTGTGGACCTGGTAAAGTCCACAATTTAAATTCCATTAACTCTACCTACAATGAAGTTATGCTCAATGGTCAATGAAAAATAAATTGAGAAAACAAACAGTTAGCATGATGCATGTTTGCAGGATAGTTGTGACATGGCACTTGGCAAAAAGTTTAGAAAAGTGGTCTTGTGCACAAGTCCAAACAGTTATTTGTTTTTTTATGGGCCAAAAAGTGAAAATCTATCATTTTATGATAACAAGTTTGAAAGAAGTCATTAAAAGAAAATACCTCCTTAGCCAAAACATTATTCTCCTCTGTGATAACACCAGACTATGGATTTTCTGCATTTTGCATACAGTTTCAATGGCCCAGGGCCATAAAAGGTACTGCCTTCTTGTACGGCCCATACTGGCTGGCACCACTGACTTGCATTTACTCCACATTTGAAGGGACATACTTCACTATCACTAAAAATAAAAATCGTCATTGCCAGATGGCTGTGGTACAGAGATAGAATTTTCTGAGGACAGAACAAGCTAGCTTATTATGGTTTGCAATAAACATTCAAATGGCTGCTTGATTTTGTTGAGAAATATCATATTGCTCATGGGCAAATACCGTAAAATTATTCGTGTATTATTGTAAAATTGCTTTTTGGTCATCCCATGTACTAATGTAGTACACTCAGTCATAGAATACATTTTTAATAATATCACTTTTTGTCTTTCACATAGGAAGACATACTGATTCATGCGGCGTACGGATCCAGTAAGGACATCTGGGTGTACTCGTCTCTGGGACTGAAACCCGAACAGGTCTTTACCATTGGAAAAGTCTCAAAAAAACAACACTCAATTGCCACAGTAAGTTTCATTTGTAATTGTAAATTTTAAATATGCATTCTGGTAAATTTATGAAATTATATGTCTCATAACTATAAAAATTACAATTAACTCCTACTTAAAAATATATTTTACATAAAAGGTATTACAGAAACTTTTATTTTTAAAAGTTACATTTGTCTTCTTAAAATCTGAACATTCACCTTTACTCTAGCAAAATACTATCTGTACTTTGCTAGAGTCCATCTACACAATCATCTTAAAAATTTCAAAGTTTAGCTCCCATTGATATATTATAGTTGATTCTGAGACATATTTTCTTTTGTTCATATGGATGATAGCAATCCTGCATAAAAGGTTTTAAGAAACTGCAAGTTTAACAACACAGATAGAACTTTTAATCTTTAGACTCTTCTTATAAATCTAGGTAAATAAAATATAAGAATAAAGAATTTTTTGTGTGACCAGGACAATCCAAGATCTTTATTAAAGTTCTAGAGCAACCTTAAAGCAATCAACATCAACAGCAAGTATCCACTTAAGTAAATTTCTGAAATCAAAAAGAATGATCACACATTTATTTATTTTGAACTATTCTGTGCACAATTTCTTTTTGATTATTTTGTAATGGACAAACACTAACATCCTTCAAAGTACCTTCATGGTGATGACTTGATAGATATACAACAACATGCAAAACAGATGACAAAGATGCAGTGTGTACATTACTTTTTATAGTCTAAACATTTTGAAGCTGAATGGAAATCATAGAAGTTGTTCTCATTAAATTGTATAATTTTATGTTTTTTTTTTTATTTATTTATCATGAGAATGAATATAAATGAAATAGGAGACTAAACTTCTGATAATGCAAGATAATGCTCATTTTGGTATTAAACCTAATCAACTTCCTGTATGGAGGTGTGTCCAGGGGTTGAACATTTCATTATTTCTTTCAACTATGGAAAATGACAAAGCAGATCAGTAACTGCAAACAATAAATTCCATGTAATGAATTTAGTTATGTTGGAGTTAACTGCATACTAGAAGAAGTAATTAAAGATAATTGCACTTTGCTACATTGTTACCCAATCTGCATATCAATACTTCAGTCTAAACAGAACAGATGATGATGATGCTGTACATGCATTCATGTTATATACAGTCTGCTAAGTTTGCATTTACAAAAGAAACAGCTCATGTTGGCTTGTGGAAAGGCAATGACATTTTTTAGACCTCACTTATGCAACAAATTTTGAACATTTCTCTTCTGTATCTCTTGATGACAAAGACATTTCCTAATTCTCCTTTTTTTCATACATGATGCTTCGTTAGCTGATTCATCAGTAGAAATATAAGGCACAAGAGATTGTAGGTCTATTAAGAATCAGCAAAATAAAATAAAAAACAAAAAGTTACATTGTAAGTTGGATTAACCTACACAGTTACATAATTTTTGCTTGTGTATTGCAGCTAGTTCTAATTGCAGATAATTTTATTTAAAAAAAATTTTTTAATTGACAATTTCAATAGACAATATTTACTGTTTTTAAAATCCTAAATATAGGTGAATCACTGGCAGAAGCATAACCACATCAATATAAAACTAGTTAGTCATGATTATAACATAATAAAAGGTAATATTTACTGAATTAAAATTGATAATTTAGTGGCAAAGGATAGTAATCTTAATTGAAATCTTTTATATCATTCTGATTAGACATTTATAGAAATCTATATATTCATTATAACAAATAAATCAAAACAATCATTACACAGTAGCAATTCCTGTAAGGCACAGAACAACCAGAATAGAATATCATGCTTCAGAAATTTTTACTAAGTCATTTCATATGCAGGCATGAAATTCTCATACAGCTCATAGCAAAGCAGATAAATCATTTCTCCATAGAACTAAATTGAATTGATAATATCTATGTGAATTTAACTGCTAGGACATTGATTATTTTTGTTATGGACAGCTGACAGAATCACCCTGTAGCAGTAACTCAGTTTTCACAAAATTTTCAGACAAATTTCAATGCTAAAACAAAAGGTTGTCTGTGATGGCAATTTGATTAGTGTAACATCAGCAACAAAACAAAAGTTTCTGTAAGCCATCTCTTAGACTTTCTCTCATGTTTTCCTTTCATTCCACAATGTTAGCCAAAATTGATTTTTCTCTTAGAAAAGTTGAGTTCAGCTAGTTTTCCAAGATGATCACTTGAAAGATAGAGAAATCATTCAACTTTGATCTTATTACATCCACTTGATTGAATAAATATTAACTTATGTTTAAAAGCAGATAACATTTCTAAAAATTAAATAAAGAGTTGTAGTAGCCAACAAGTTGATCACAACTGTCTTCATAAACAATTTTGTCCCAAAAGTAAGACTAAAATGATTTTTCTCATTAGGATGCTGGAAAAGAATGACAAGAGAAGCAGTACTGGGACATTGATCCGTTAGGATGTTTTCATCCCACAGAAATAGAACTATTTACCTCTGTCTCTTCATTCCATTAATCCCATTTTATAAAAAATTTCCACAGTATTTACAATGAAAATATGTGACAAACACTCTTGACTGATCATCCAAAGTCTCTCTACACCAGCTATTGTACAGATCTACAATTTGGTTCTAAATACCAGTTTATGATAGCAAGTCTAGAATTTCAGAAAGCTAGTTCAATGTTACAATCTAGCATTTCTTTAGTTATAAGTATTTATGATCAGCCAAAGAACAGATATTTAGGATAATCAATTTGGGGTTTTCTAAAAGAATTTCATGTCATAAGACAATAGCTGACTTTGCTGAGCTGGACTAATTGAACAACATCAGTACATGGAGTGGCAATATGTTTATCTCTATGGGTCCTGGAAGAGAAGTGAAGCATAACTTCTTTCCAAATCTACAATAAATTTTTTGAGAAATGGCACATGTTTTGTTCTTAAGAACAGCATCAAAATGACTAAATCACTCAAAGCAATTGTCTATCCTGCTTTATGCTTATTTTATCCTGTTTTAGTAGTTACATATCTTGTTTTATTGCTTATTTATTTTTTTACATTCTCTCTCTCTCTCTGTCCACTTCTTAATAGGATCATATCAGTTTTCTTCATTCTGGCCAATCATATAATTTCAAAGTTCTGTTTATTTTGCCAGTTGGTATTCTGTACCATCCTTTCCATGAATAATCTCATTTTCGTGTTCTATTCTTTGTACATCATTAGCATTTTATTATTCAAATCATTTCTCTTCTTGTTTTTGGTATATTTTAATAAATTCATAAATAGTATCTACTGTCAAAATTGCAGGTACTGACAAACGGATACGCAGTGCACCTAAATAACCTGAAAGCTCCAGGAGGATCCAGACCAGCTCAGGGCAATGCCAGGATGATACTGCCACACGGAGGGTTCAGCAAACCTGGACAGTCTCTGAGCTGCCTGCACCAGCGCCGTTCGGCAAAGAGGACCACTTCCTATCCGCTTTCAGGGCAGAATGAATCTTGGCCCAAGTCTCCTTCCATAAAGAACAATTAGATAATTCCTCTACAAGTCAGACAAGAAAGACTTTTGTACATTGTCAACTGCAGCATTCTCTTTAAGCACCAAAGTAATGTTTCTTACCATCAAGCGGAATGTTAACAGATTTATCTTTCTTGTACATAAGATGGATACGATAACCACTTGCAGGTAAAAAAAAAATATCTTAGATATTTTATATGGATAAACTTATCTAGAATGATGTAACTGTATCACAAGATCTCTTTCCCTTCGTAAAGCATTAGTCAAGTACCAGTCACGTGTTCAATTTTAACACCTAATGACTCCTATATGTGTGATCAATGTCAGGATGAATTGTTTCTAGAAGTACACACTCAAAATAGGTTGTGTTCTCACAATTAAATGCCAAGTTCTGATTTCTTGTTTAGAGATTGCATTCCAATTATCTCCTGATAGTTTACATTCCATAATCATATATTAATTTGTGGCAAGAAATCTATACAAAAAACAAAATGGCAAATTTTTTACAATGGAATAAGAAACTACTATGCAAGAACAAAATCCCTAAAGCAAATAGCATGTTTTACAGCTTTAAGTGAATCAATGATGATGCGACACATAAAAATAAAAGGATTTCTCATATATTTTCTTATTGAGAGAAGGAAGATCTTTATTACTGTATAGTGAAAGTGAATTTGTATTTCTAAAACAGGAAAAAGAAAAATTTTATTAATGTCAAACTTGTTCACTTTCCTCAAAATTATTTTCAACTCAAAAAAAAAACAATTAATGTAAATAATTAATAATTAAATATGGAAATAACAATTGTAGTATGTGGGAAGTATTCCATCGTATCACCCTGCCAGATTATCGTGGAGAGAGAATGCAGAACTGCTGCAAGTGGATTAGAACATGGATCAAGCATAGGGTGAGTATGAATTTTATTATTTTTGATAATAGATGAATGACAATACATTTAAGAACACCATTCAAAATCAATAAGTTTTGTAATAAGCAACATTATTATGTTTCTTGGCAACTGCTATAAGAGATTAACATTTCTTTTATACAGGGTGGGCCAACGAAAACGAAACGGCAGAGTTATCGTGCTCGTCCAAGCAAATCGCTCGGACAGGTTGATTTTATTCCCAAGGGGGACATCTTCTGCAATAAAGTTTTTGCGATTCTGAATACAACAGACAACAAAAAATTTTAAAAACTCGTGCATTTTTTTATTAACTAAACAAACATTTATTTCAGAAAAAAAGTAACACAAACTATTAAGAAACATAAAAAAAACCTTTTAAGCTGGACCACATATGCAAGGAAAAAATCGATTATAAAATTAAGGCTGATAATGTGTTATCTGTTTCCAGATGTTCTTTTTTGTAGTGTTCACATTAAGCTTGACCACTTAATGATTCTATCGGAATTTAAGATTATTTGTTTATTATGAATTTTCTACATTTATTGTTATGGTTTACACAATTGCTGAAAGGGTAGAAATAGTAACTCTTCATTTCAGAAATTGCAAGTATGCTTATCTTACTGCAAATTTATTTAATCAACGCTATCCAAACAAATATTGTAATGTAAAATACGTTCTGGATTTGGTTCAAAAGTTTCAGTTAATGGGTTCTGTGGCTAACAAAAGACGCGACCCCGGACGTGAACGTCCAGTAAGTAATGAATCGACAGAGATGTGGTGCTCTATTCGAACATTTATTTTGAATACTTAAGAAAAAGTTATCATGTTTGTTACTTTATTTGAAATAAATGTTTGTTTAGTTAATAAAAAATGAACGAGTTTTTAAAATTTTTTGTTGTCTGTTGTATTCAGAATCGCAAAAACTTTATTGCTGAAGATGTCTCCCTTGAGAATAAAATTGATCTGTCCGAACGATTTGCTTGGACGAACACGATTACTCTGCCGTTTCGTTTTCGTTGGCCCACCCTGTATAGAAAAGATTGTTGTGCACTAAGTAACAGCTTCCTTTGAAGGAGAAAATTCAAATATGCATGCAATTACAAAATACAAAAGATCATCTTTTGTTTTGTTTAATTTGATTTCTCAGAAATGAGCCTACATTGAGCACTTTAAATATATATACTTCATATGGTTCCTAAAATTGCATTAATGTAAGGGAATGTTCATAAACCATGTACCCAAAATTTGGAAATTGACCCCCCTTCCCCTTCTGGTAATTCTTTGTGCCCAAACCACTTAAAAAATACCAGATGGGAGAATAGCAAAAGCTTTTTTGTAACTCTGTTCAATAGACAATAAAATGAAGACACATTAACTGTTTAATTGTTCACACTATACAAACCCTGCTACTTACCATTATTCATTCCAGCAAACTCTGCTGACCCTTTTTCATATAAAGTTACAGCCTTCCATGCTCTAACAAGACAGGCCTTTACATAACATACTAATTGGGAAAACAGTTTAGTGGAGCTAAAACATATTGAGGACATAGCAGTAAACAAGTGTATAGAAAAGACCCTAATACATAATTTATCCTGTGCCTATACAACCAATTAGCCACACCCAACATCTCCAACACCCAATGGACTTCCCAACAGAAGTCAGGATTGCAACCCTAACTCCAGGCACACTACATATGGTGTTTAAATGCTGGTTATACTCTATTATAAAGAAATTGCTGGCCATACGGGTACCAAAATTGCATACGGAAATTCCGCACGATATATAAGTTATGACACAACAGAAAGGAGAAGACCGATGAACATAGAGCCCCTGGGATGTGCAGGGTTCCTGTAAGGGACAACAAGTTCCAAAGGAATTTAGTTTATATTGGTTCCACTATATGCTCAGTACAAAAAAGGGTGCAAGAACATCGATACGGCATTGTAAACAACTGACCCTGACATGCGTGCCGACCTCCAAAATGCCAGGTTAATAAGGCAATCCTTCCAAACGGATCCTAGAAGCTCTAGAAATAATGCAATTGTCAGTCAGGCTGGCCTTGTATAACTTTAAAGGCGGTAACACTTTATTGTATGCATGGCAGTACTTTTATGAAAAACCTGACAACGCTGACATAAATTAGTTTTTATTTGCTATTGATTTATCTTAAAATATACAAAAATTTTAAGTTTTATATTTTTAACTGTTTAATTTTTATATACATTATGTGTTTCAAAAATATTTTTAAACTAACAAATTGGAATGTGTAGAACAAAGCCTGAAACAGACCTTGGTCAAGGTCAAAAACATTCAGTGGATGTTTTTATTAAAATTTCGTTACTGGATTTTAAAGGTTCTTGATTGTAATTCATTCCAGTATTTTGGTAAGAAGCTAATTTTAATCTATACTTACTATATATGTATATTCTATTTGTTTCTGATATATTCTGATTTATTTCAAAAATGTTTAGCCAAATTTCACATTTTTATGAGAAAACATGCATAAAGAAATCTGGCATTTTCTCTTTCTAAATCTTAATTAGCGAGTTATTAAGCATCAAAGTGTACTAATGTCATTTCCAATTTTTAAGTCTAACTATGTAGTGTATCAGCAGGGCTATGAGAGCTTGTATGGGAACCTCAAGTGGAGCAGGTCCCTTTCACCAGTTTTTTTTTAAATAAATGAAATATGTAGAATGTGTCTTTATTAATAAAAAGTAGTTTTAAAATTTTTAATGTTATTTTTACTAACAAAAAATAACTTACCGATAGAAACTGCTAAGGGCCCCTAAGAGTGTACATCCTATGTGGCAGTGTCCAGTGACCCCGAGCAGAAAAAACATTTGTACACACTTCCAGCTCACAAGTAACCTGTCTGGAATGAATGGAGTTGAGTAGCGAGTCAGGGTAAGTGTATGTATGCTTGTATGTGTGCTCCGTATTTCGATCGTCGTATCATCGGAAATCTTGGGTGGATTAACGAAAGGTTTATACCGCTGGATAGGACTATCAACGAGGATTCCGTGAGTGTTTGGTTTTTTGAATTCCGTTCGGTAGTAAAAAGTTACGGCTGTCCGTAACTCTCGCTTTTGTTCGGGCTCCATCGGGCCCCACTTTTGCCATCGGACCGTTTTTTAGTCGGTATTCGACGGCTTTAGGTCCTTTCCTTGTTGCTCTAAATTTTCGTTCGGCTTACGCTAACGGTTATTGAGATATTAAGTCCGATAATTCTGTTCCGTAACAAACAGCTTTCCACCACGTGGTGTTTAGCCGATCGGCGTGGTTCTAGCCGTTCGGCGTTAGTCTCGCGCAGACGCTGTTATTTGTTTGTCGGGTTCCTCTTTCTATCGGAAGCTTGCCTTCGGCTTCCTCTTCCTGTCGGTGTAGCGGAAACCGCTTCCAGTTGGCGGATCTGTGGCTGGTGGATTAGCCGTTCGGCGAATGTGCAACCGTTCGGCGTTTCGCTGTTTATACGGGTTCTTCCTCGTGCTGCGGCTTCCGTCTTGTTCTGTGTGTTTGACGAGCTGTCGGCAAAGCGATTGCCAAAGCCCTGTGTCAGCCCTTCAATAGTTCTCGGGTTTTTCCGTTTTTAGCCGTTCGGCGGGTTTGAGCCAAACGGCTCAGCTGTACGGCTTCTGTCGGTCCGTTTGGTGTGGTTTAGCCGATCGGCGTAGGCCTTGCGTGGTCGCAGGTTTTCCCGCTAGCAGTCCTGTTTCCTGGTGGATTTCTCATCAGGGTCCCCCCTCGTTTAGGGTTGCGCGGTCCGTCTTGGTTAGGCGGACTGTCTCACGGGTGTTCAGCCGTCCGGCGTCCAAGCCGATCGGTGTGCCGTGGTTTTTTCTGTCTCTATTTGGTCGGGCGGCTTCTGTTTTACAGTCCGGGTTAGTCGGGTTGCCGGGTAAGGGATCCGTAACTCCCAGCGGCATATCGATCTTTGTTTCTTGGTCCTACTCTTTTCGCCGTTCGGCGTTCTGGAGCTAAACGGCTTCTGTGGTCAGCTTGTGGTAAGTTCCCGTTTGGCTCATCTCCTTGTTAAATATGGAATCACTGGAACCATTCGACGATCCAGAAACGACTAAGGTATCGGCAACTCCAGCTGGACAAGCTACTACTAGCCCCTCTGTCTGTCTTCAAACTCTAGAAGACGAAATTCTTGATGAAGCTAGTCAGCACCTGAGGAAGGTTATGGACCTCCTCCCAGCGAAATATAAATCTCCACTCAAAACAGAAGAACGTAAGGAGGTGAAAGATCGTGCTGTGCAACTCCACAGTTGTGTATGTCAGATGTACGGGATTATGCGGGAAATGAGGGCCAAGTTAGAGGCTTCTCCGCCCCAGGTCCCAACACAAGAACCATCTGAAATAAAGAAAACCTACGCACAGGCCGCCAGTGTTAACATTGGCACAAGGCCTAGCCAAGCTACTAAAACTATTAACGCCTCTCTCCAAACAAAAGTACAATCAGAAGGGGCAGGAGGCACTCATGCAGTCCTCCTGTACCCCAAACCATCTAGTGACGAGGAGCAACAAGATATGGACGAAATAACCAACAAAATAATAAAGGAAATCCGACCGGAGAGGCTGCGAATTACCGTGAAAGCGATTCGTAAGGTGAAAGACAACGGTGTGTGCGTTCGGGTCGGGAGCGAGCAGGATGGCAAAAAATTAAAGGAAGCCATCGACGCAATCCCCAGTATCCAAAAGGCAGTCAGCTGTAAACTATCAGAAGGGAGAAGGCCGCGGGTCATCCTATTGAATGTCCCAAATTACATAGAAGAGGATGAAATAATAAAGACAATGGTAGAACAAAATAAGATATGGGGGAGTAATGACCAAAACGATATAATAGCAACGAGCAGAATCAGCACCATTCTAAGCCGTGGCAGAATCAAAGAAAACTGCAGAAATGTGGTCCTCTCTGTGACCCCAGAGACAAGGAACACCCTAATACGTAACCGCCACATCTCTATGTCTTGGTCGACAATTTATGTAGATGATTTCATACCCGTAGTTCGATGTTTTCAATGCTGCGGGTTCGATCATTTTGCTTGTGACTGTCCTGCGGACCTCAGATGCAGTCACTGTGCTAAAAAACACCCATTCAAGGAATGCGACCGTCGTCACAAAACACCGACCTGCATAAATTGCAAACAAGCGAACGGGAGACTCCCAGAAGGGAAAAAACATTCTGAACACCATAATGCCTTCAGTACGAATTGCCCAATCCTCCAGAAAAGAAAGCAGCAAGTCATAATACGCACTAATTATGGACTGTAACTCTCAAAGAAACAAGACTCAGAATACTCACACGACCAGTGATCAATCCAAAAATGAGGTTTCTAGTAACAACGAACAAAGGATTATCATCAAATTCCTTCAGGTAAATGCCCAGAAGTGTAAAGCGGCTTGCTCGCTACTGGTTAAAACTGCGAGCGACATGAACAGTGACATAATTACGATCCAAGAGCCTTACACGATTGATAACAAAATTGTCCGCTTTGGTAAATGGCAAATCTTAACGGGACATACTCCCTCAAGGCCCAAATGCGGCATAATAGTCTGTAACCCCAAACTGGACATAGCATTGATTCCTCATCTCTGCTCGGAAAGGGTTTGTGTTGCTATCATGCAACAGCCAAACCCCATATATATTATGAGCATCTATTTCGCACCAGATGAAAACGACGACGATTGTGTAAGCGAACTATCAAGCGTCCTAGAAAAAATTAAAAGTGACAACATCATTATTCTAGGCGACATAAATGCCAAATCGGCAATCTGGTATCATATAGTTTCTTAAAATCACTGAAATCGAGGAACGAAATGAGCACACCAAGATGGCGGTTGAATTTCGCGCCTTTTTCCAACGAATCGAACTTGTGTTATCGTAATCGTTGGGCTTTATTTACACAGACTATTGCGCCCCGTGGTGGTGAGAGATGGCGATAGTAATATTTTCCTCGGTATTTATAGGTCTGCTCGTAAACGGTGATAAAAGTGGTCATACTTTGTATACAAATCTCGATGAGCGTACATTTAAGACAATTGCTTATCTTAAAGTTCACATCAAAGAAAACAGCCATAGGTACAAGAGCAATATTTGTATTCAAACCGACAGTAGGACTGCCCTGAACATTTTAAATAACACCAAAAACTACACGGGCCTCTCTGCAGACACGATAACAGAAAAACTGTGGAAAATAAAAAAACTTTACTTTAAATGGGTCAAGGCCCATCAGGGACACGCCGGTAATGAGCAGGCTGACAAGCTTGCCAAGAAAGCGTGTACCCTAAGCCGAAACCCCTCTTTCGAAAGGCTACCCAAATCGTGGGTAAAAACGCAGCTCAATAACATCGCTCTGCAGGACTGGCAACTCGAATGGGACAACGACAACACTGGGAGAAGGACTCATGCGTACATCCCAACGATCGCCCGTCGTAAAAAAGCCAGTCACTACATCCCGAACGCACAAACGACCCAGGTCCTCACGGGCCATGGTAATTTCGCAGCCTATCTCTTCCGATTCGGAAAGACTGATACCAACACTTGTGAATGCGACAACGCCAGCGAAGGGACAGTAGAGCACTTTCTCTACGACTGCGCAAAGCATGAAAACAAAAGACTGCCTTTCATGGGTAAATGTCTTGCGGAAGGTCAGAACTGGCCTCCAAAAACAGCCGAAGTTTTCAGCAACAACAAACTTTGGAGAGGACTCTCGGACTACATCCACAGTACAGCAACCCTCAACGCCAGTAATCGAGGCAACAGCAACGCAACCTAGCCACCAAAGAATCATCGCTGGACCTCCCTGTATGGACTAATGACCGTCACCTCCATCCCAATTGTATTGTCATTGGGTGTCAATACAGGCACTACTGTAAATTACTGTATTCACTGTATCATCCTAATGTAACCCACCAATCATTAATATGTAACCAATATCTCAACATGTAAATACGCGTTTTATTTTGTTCCTTTTAATGTTTATATCCCTGATGTATTGTTTTTTCTAACTAATAAATGCGATGCAAGACCTCATGGTACCCCATGCCTTCCCTTCACACTTTCCTATCTCCCTTTATCTCTTCCCTCTTCCTACATCTTTAACTTTACTCCTTCCTTCAATTCAAAAGGGCAAAGTCTGTAGACTGATTACAGACAGCTCTCTTATATCTTTTAATCTGATGTATCTGATGCTTATCTTAAAGATTTTGTGACGAATGATACTGTTGTTTTTTACAATTTTTTTCCGGACGGGTTCAAAATGATCGCAGTTATCCAACCGATGTATCGTAGTATCTTGCTCTGTCGGGCAGAAGGTACAGCGATCGGTATTTTTCAGGTTACGTTTATGCAGAAAGGGATTAGTGATGAGGGAATTACAGTCGACCCCCCTATAACACTGTTGATAATTTCGTTTTATATAAATTCCATGTTGTACGAGTCACTTAGATTTTACAAATATATGAGCCGTTCACAACCCAGCACATGTATTTGTAAAATCTAAGTGACTCGTACAACATGGAATTCATATAAAACGGAATTATCAACAGTGTTATAGGGGGTCGACTGTCGTTCTGGCTCGATGAATCAGGATAGTAGTGTATCGGTCCGTGTAGTCCATGACGGGGATGTGTCGGCCGATGAGGAGCCAGTCTGTATGGCTGGGAAAATTTTGCCATTCGTTGTCCATTTGATGTTTGATTTCGGTGTTTATAATGCTGATGTAATCCTCCGGAGTAATATAATGGGTTTTCTTGGTATCGTAAGGCTGGCTCTTAATAAGTTTGTCCGCTTGTTCGTTTATCCCTTTATGAACTGGGGTCCAAACGAGACGCGTCTGTAGATTACTTTTATTGCATCTGTTGATTAGACTTATGATGGTGTGAATGATGGATGAAGACTTATCGTTGTGAACGTTGATGGCGGTAAGGATAACTTGAGAGTCCGTGCACATGGTGATGTTGCTGTCAGTCTCGGTAGCATGTTGTAGCGCGCGAAGGATAGCGAATCCCTCCGCCGTAAAAATGGTGGCGTCGGGGTGAAGAGTGTAATGGGCTTTGATGATGGTGGTGTAGGCGGTGAACGCTGTCGTGACAGTCATGTTGGTTTTGGGACCGTCAGTGTCCAGGAAAGTAGAGAGATCTTGTACCATTGGCCACTCATAGAAGATGGATTGAATAACGGGATTTGGTAGGGAGGAGTCCTGGAATGGAGGTCGTCGATGTGTATGTCGAAAATGGTGGCGTCGGGGTATAGAGTTTTGGGTCGTGTGATTATCAGTAGGGATATTGATGTTTGTTCAGTTCCGGATATAATGGGCTATAGGAATGGCGACGGTATCCGTACAAGCTTTGCGTATAAAAATTGCGACGGTATCCGTACAAACCTGATGAAAAAAAACTCCTATAATTCGANAAATTCCCCCACTGAAGGGAGATGGACAAGATTAAAGCTTACGATAAAGAACTCTACTTCTATTTATACTATTTTAGATGCGGTTTTTTGCGTTTTAATAGGGTACGTCAACAGAATGTACACTAAGAAGGGATTTTTCGAAAAATTCCCCCCACGGGAGAAGTGTTATACATTTATAATAGATACATTTTGAGCCACAACAACGCGTGGCGGGGTCTGCTAGTATAGTATAAATTTATTGTAGTGTTATTTATTTGTTTAATAATTTTTATGTAAGAAATGTTAATACTACTTTTTCTGCTTCAGAACATGATATCTTGGTTAGATTTATTTGGAAAAATAAAAAAAAATAGCTAAATTTTATTATCATTGTTTTTAGATGTCAGGAACATCATGTGTTGTTGCAACATATAATAACAGCTATCATAAGATTTCCTAAAGATCCAATAATAAGAAGAAAATGGATTCATAATTGTAAAAGAAAAGACAAATTCAATCCCGATTCTTGTCACGTTCGCCACGATCATTTCACTTCTCTTAAATACAGTAGAGCGTCGTTTATCCGAAATAATTCCAGTCGGCCTAAAGTATAATTTTTATTTGTTTTTATATTTTTCAATGTATGTATTTCGTTTGTAAAACATGAAGAAATCATTTTTAACGATACAATAGTCACGATTATATATATATATATGTCCATTTATATATATATATATATATATATAAATGGACATGTATGTCCCTATATTTCACTTTTTTGCCAAAACTACACATCACACGTGAATGGTGTTTGTATGTGGTAGTAGCCCCAAGTCTCCATTCGTGCATAGGGGTGGTTGTGTCTCGATAGCTATAAGGGTGCGGGAGATATG